ACGGGATGCGAAGCAGAGACCGCTAGTAGTAGTAGAATGTGAACCCACTGCGTAGGGGGTCGGATTTCAGTTGCCAGCACTGTAAATGTACTGTAGCCATGGTAGAGGACATGGAAATCCGGTCGATTGACCGGGGCCGGCGCCCTCAGCGCGTACAGACCGCTGCGTGTGCACAATCATGATGATCCGATGTGCGACCAGCGCCCTGCAGCGCATAAAAATGCATGTGTGTTCCGCTTATCCACGGCCACGGCTGCTAAAAACAAACGCTTGCAGCGCCCTGGCCCCTGGCCCTGGGGCCGCTAGACGTGCGACCGGATTTCCATGTCCATGACAGTAGTACTAGTACATAGTAATAAAATTAGTATGGAGAACGAACGCGTTCAAAAGTATGCTTTTCAGCGCAAACAATTTTCGCTATTTCCATCGTGTTCTCGCTCAGTTTCTCTGCTTGTAATTGTAGCGAAGATGTAGCTTGCTCCGGGTAATGTTGACGTCTTCTAGATATGGTGGACCATGATGGACGCTTGGAGAGATCGGCTGTGGCGATACCATCGCGGAATGCGACTCGAAATTGAATATTTGTATCCCTGATCCCATCGCAGAATTCGCTCTCCAAACAGGAGCGAGAGGAAGTGCAGCGATGGCGTAAAATCGTCAAAGCAGGCGTAATTCACCAGCCAGCGACTGCTTCTTGTCTTCTCTTTCACTTACCTTAGCCTGGATGTGAGTAGATGAAGAAAAATATTGATTTCGAATCTGACACAATATTTCGAAATTTGCAATTTTGAAGCCATTGTTTCACCTGAAATATGTGTGACAATACAGTCATATATAAGCATGTCCCTGGCATGTTGTTGCTCTTCATGCACTGAGACAACGCTTGGGAGGTGGTTTTGTCCCTATGTTCCCAGTACATGAGCACAAACTAATTTTCATCCTATCTGTTTGTGATATCCTGATAGGTCAGAAATATGCACAATTGGCGCAAATCTTTGGTATTCCACCTATGGCCTTCATATACTACTGCATGCTGTACCAGTATCCATGCTTACCTGGGTGCAGTGATACATTATGGAGTCAGGAAAACACAACTTGCATATACAAAAGTTCTGTAGATTTCACACCCTGGTTGCTTCTTTGGCTACGATAGCCCCTACCTTACATACAATCATAATCAGTAGATGGCTGGTACATAAAGGGTTAAAAGAAGCTAAGAACGGCGCCGCGGTGTTGGTTTTCTGCCAGCTTATGGGATACATAATAATGATCCAGAACGCACTGTTTATAAGAACGCAGCCAGATTGCTGAAAAAATAAGAACGCCCCAGGGTATCCCCTTGGAAACAACGTTCTTTGGCGCGCCACTCTACTGTATATCTGGTATAACGCTCGGCCGGACTCGCTCCATTGCTGACATCAGACCACCACGTGACTTGGTGCCTTCAGTGCACTGAACTTACTTGTACTTGAAGGCACCACATGCACCACTCCACCAGGGCCTCACCCTGCTCACTCACTGACTGTGTCTGGAGTCACTGCCCCAGATTCCTGAACACCAGTTTTGTGATGACGGCCCCGTGCCCGTAGCCGTCAATGCTGTGACCTTGGTCTGGTGGTGACTGATTGTCAAGGAGGCATGGGCACGAGTACGGGTGTGTGCAAGAGTACTACATTTGTAGTACGTATGAAAAACTGGTTTTCATGCACAGTTATATGAATATATACATCTACTCTTGTCAGTCATGGTCGCCATGGTCACAAGTTGGTGTGTGTGTGTGTGTGTGTGTGTGTGTGTGTGTGTGTGTGTGTGTGTGTGTGTGTGTGTGTGTGTGTGTGTGAACAAGAGTAGATAAACTGTTTTGTAGTCTTGCTTAGTCTTGGTGTGAATATGGTGGTGACTGACTGTCTGTGGTAGATCTACATATTGTACATATACATGGCAGTAGTCAAAGAACATTAAAAATCTTGAAAATCCATGATCATCCGGAATAAATGAATAGAAGAATCCAAAGTCCACGCATGCCGCTCACATTATTTTACTACCTGTACATGTACATGCAGAAGCAGACTATTAATATAATTTTTACCATAGGCATAGCGCAACTGAAATACCGGCTAAAATTCCCGACCATCATAATCATGCAGGGTGATCCCCGCTAACCGGTAGTCTAGTAAATCGGTAGGGAACTGTCCCGGAAAAGACAGGGGTACCGGGCCTCGGGCGCTGGGCCTATGCATATGGGTTCGAATCCCGCTCGTCACGACGCGAATCCTTCTTTTGCAACACGAGCGGGATTCAAACCCAGCACCCCTGTCTTTCCGGGACCGTGAATGCCCTACCGACTAGGCTACCGGCGATCACACACACACACCCGTGGGTCCTTGCTACACAGATTCCCCATGAGTATGAGTACGGCCCATGCGCACACCGTGTCTACGCGGCAGTACATGACGTGTACATGTAGTGTATGCCTGTGCCTATGGCTAGGGCTAGGGCTAGGGCTAGGGCTAGGGCTAGGGCTATGGCTAGGGCTAGGGCTAGGGCTAGGGCTAGGGCTAGGGCTAGGGCTAGGGCTAGGCTAGGGCTAGGGCTAGGCTATGGCTATGGCTAGGCTATGGCTAGGGCTAGGGCTAGGCGATCGCTAGGGCTATGGCTAGGGCTAGGGCTAGGGCTAGGGCTAGGGCTATGGCTAGGGCTAGGGCTAGGGCTAGGGCTAGGGCTAGGGCTAGGCTATGGCTAGGGCTAGGCTATGGCTAGGGCTAGGGCTAGGCGATCGCTAGGGCTATGGCTAGGGCTAGGGCTAGGGCTAGGGCTAGGGCTATGGCTAGGGCTAGGGCTAGGGCTATGGCTATGGCTAGGGCTAGGGCTAGGGCTAGGGCTAGGGCTAGGGCTAGGGCTAGGGCTAGGGCTAGGGCTAGGGCTAGGGCTAGGGCTAGGGCTAGGGCTAGGGCTAGGCTAGGGCTAGGCTAGGGCTAGGGCTAGGGCGATGGCTAGGGCTAGGGCTAGGGCTAGGCTAGGGCTATGGCTAGGGCTAGGGCTAGGGCTAGGGCTAGGGTTAGGGTTAGGGCTATGGCTAGGGCTAGGGCTAGGGCTAGGGCTAGGGCTAGGGCTAGGGCTATGGCTAGGGCTAGGGCTAGGGCTAGGGCTAGGGCTAGGGCTAGGGCTAGGCTATGGCTAGGGCTAGGCTATGGCTAGGGCTAGGGCTAGGCGATCGCTAGGGCTATGGCTAGGGCTAGGGCTAGGGCTAGGGCTAGGGCTAGGGCTAGGGCTAGGGCTATGGCTATGGCTAGGGCTATGGCTAGGGCTAGGGCTAGGGCTAGGGCTAGGGCTATGGCTATGGCTAGGGCTAGGGCTAGGGCTAGGGCTAGGGCTAGGGCTAGGGCTATGGCTAGGGCTAGGGCTAGGGCTAGGGCTAGGGCTAGGGCTAGGCTATGGCTAGGGCTAGGCTATGGCTAGGGCTAGGGCTAGGCGATCGCTAGGGCTATGGCTAGGGCTAGGGCTAGGGCTAGGGCTAGGGCTAGGGCTAGGGCTAGGCTATGGCTAGGGCTAGGCGATCGCTAGGGCTAGGGCTAGGGCTAGGGCTAGGGCTAGGCACAGGCATACATGTACACCAAGTAGTATCTACTGTATAACCGGAATCGTTTGCGCTCGTTTTAGTTCACGAATTGCGATGACAGACCATTTTGCACCTGCAAACATTTGCGATTGGAGTCAATTAATGATGATTCTTGACAGTTTCGGGCCCACTTACTTTCGAGATTTCACACCCATCGCGAACGTTTCCGGATCGCAAAGGTTTCTGGGTTTACAATAAGCATTCTGATTCTCCGAATTCTGGACCAGCTACATCAGCTCACAACATGTAGCTGTCCGAAGCTGATAGCCCATACACAGTCAGTTGCAGAATTGAACGAATGCAACTATGCATGAAACACTCAAAACACTCACACTCAAACACTCAAACACTCATACACAGACACAGACACAGACACACACACACACACACACACACACACACACACACACACACACACACACACACACACACACACACACACACACACACACACACACACACACACCCTCTCTCTCTCTTTCTCTCTCTCACACACACACACACACACACACAGGCAATGCAGGTGGTGGGCTGTTGCAAGCAACAAGCAAATGCTGTATCACGACTCAGAACTCCAGTCCAACTGACAACGGAAAATATATGCACGGCTCGTTCTCGTCGTAGCTGCAATTTCTCGTGCAGCAGCCACGGTACGCACCCCCACACACACACACACACACACACACACACACACACACACACACACACACACACACATACACACACACGCACGCAAACAAAGCACTAAAAACGAAAGAGAAACACGCGAGAAAGGCCAATCCTGAACGGTTTCACGTAGCCAACGGGTGAGAGTGCACATTTCTCCAAACACTCTTTGTACAGAAGCAGCAGCTGCAGCACCGCAGAACAGCGGGACAACAACAACAAGAAGCAGAATAACTATGTATAGGAAACTGGCATGAACACCTATCCTCAAACTCAGAAAACAACACGCGAATCTACTACTGCTGGCCACAGTAGCCACACCTCATAGACACTCTAAGATGGGGTAAAAAGAGAGACCGAGAGTAGAAGGTCGGGGTGGGCTGACTTGCCCCGTGTTCGGGGGTGGGGGGACGAACCAGCCCGGTCACAAAAAGTACACTCAAGTGAAGGGTGCAGCATGGCAAACTGCACTGTGAATGGTGCGGCATGGCAAACTGCACGGTGCGGAGACGCCAGGCACGCACAGCTGGACATGAGCCTGACAGAGCTGTCGTCTGACTAGCCAGTTGCTGACCCTGCCATGAACGGTAGACGAGCAGGCACAAGACCGGCGACAGGACTTCCCCGTCTCTCTCTCTCTCTTTCTCTTTCTTGGTGTGCGGTGAGACTGACAATGCTAGCACTGCCCGTCATCATCATCATCACTGCCGTGTTCCTAGTAGAGCGAGTCCAGGTTGTTGCTGCGCGGCTTCTTTATCTTCTCAATGTTCTTCGTGATCATGTCGTGCAGAATACACTGCGCACAACAACACCAACAACAACAACAACGACAACAACAATAACAACCAGAATTTAAAGTCAAAACAATCTCGTATTGGCCACTAGCTATCGTGAGAATAAAGATTTGAAACAACAACAACCTCAACTAATGGATGTAGGATACTATCCAGTTCCTCAGCCACACACTGTCCAGATCTTTACAGCCCGTGTAGGAGCGTTATACGAAAGTTCCACCATCCCCTTGGTAACACATTATAGTGCGTTTCAAAAGCATAAACCTCCCAGACTTTTTCGAATTTGGTTTGAGCTTTTTCAGAAATTTCTATTGCTCAGGCAGCTCCCGCAATTTCTCTCATAAAAAATTGTAAGCGATTGGATATCAAACGCCCAATTTCAGAAATTGTATACACGAAGTGATCACAGATTTTACGTGTATAGATGCTGGCCAAACGTTTTTTAAACCAGAGGTCTGCACTGAAACGCACAATCGTGATGGTCTGCTCTACGTGACGGGAACGCGACGTGAAGAATCCCAGGAACACTCTTCGCGCTCCCGTAACGTGCAGGAAACCTGTTCTGCTCTACGTTCACATACAGAAAATCACTTGGGAAATGTGTACCGGGAATTTCCCGTTCAAAAATTGGCAGCTTTCTGCCTGATTTGAATGATACCGAGCAGATCCGTAACCATTTTCTTTGCATGTGCCACAACATAGAGAACCTCATCTACGCGTGGAAACTTGGACCCAAAACATGCAAAGCCGTAGACATTAACCCAGACACCTGTTCTCCACATGATTTCTCTCCACATTTCACTAAGAGTATAATATAGGCTCCCAAGAGTGTGCAACTCCTGATATCCTTTTTATGTGAACGACTCACATCACGTGGTGCAGTGTCACAGTTGAACGTCTCTAGCCCGTTTTTAGCGAGCAGCAAAGTAATAAAAAAGCACTCTCTGACAGAGACTCACTGCGCGTATGCAACTCGCCAGTATGATCATGGACCATATTCGGATTACGTGCACGCCTTCCTCAGTTGTACGTAGTACGACACATGCCCGAGACACGTGATTTGAGTTTTCGCCGTTGGAGACCCCTTATGGAGAGTCGCACACTCTTGGGAGCTTACTACTCTTGGTTTCACACAAGAGAGAGAGACAGAGAGACAGAGAGACAGAGAGACAGAGAGACAGAGAGACAGAGACAGAGAGAGACAGAGAGAGAGAGACAGAGAGACAGAGAGACAGAGAGACAGAGAGACAGAGAGAGACAGAGAGAGACAGAGAGACAGAGACAGAGAGAGAGAGAGAGAGAGAGAGAGAGAGAGAGAGAGAGAGAGACAGAGAGAGAGAGAGAGAGAGGGGGGGGGGAGCTGTGTTGCAACTCCGAGTTTTCGCGTAGTCACGATCATCAGGCACCGTGAAAACTCGGAGTTGCAACACAGCTTCCCCTCTCTCTCTTGCGTGGAAGGCTTGGCCCTATATGGGTATTGAGCACTCATCGGACAGTGTAGTACGCTACTTGATGTCTCTTGGTTTCATGTACAGCAGAACCTCACAGGGAGTTGAACGACAACAGCTGGAGACTTACGTAAGCATTGCGCATCTCACAGCAGGTCAGTCGAAGTGTCAGGAACTCCTTCTGGTCAACCTCAGCCACTGAACGACGGTAGTCATCCTGAACAACCACACACACACACACATGCACACACACACACACACGCAAATATCGACGGAAATATGGACTAAAACATTCGTAACTTACTCAATTTTTGGGAGATTTCTCGGATCGAAATATCTAGGAAGAAGCCTAAGAGCTCGGCTTTGTAATGCAACAATCGCCGAAGAGCTACGATGTCGCGTTGCAGAGATGTTGCGCTCAACACTTCAGTCACGGTATACGTCGAACATTCTTCTCAGCGATCGGCCTTGAGCGAGGGACTTCCCCTTGAATGATATGCTGATTTATCCATGCACGCTTCCTGCACGTGGCCAGCATAAAACTAAACTCAGCGCAAAAAAATTGAGCGTTCTGCGATGAATGAGAGTGAAATGGCTGGCGACGAGGAAAATTGCTGATATATCCAGCTCTGTAGACTATTCTTGGCACGGTGACATTGGATACGTGGTGTGTTGCACCATGTGATGTAATGTAAAGTTCTGCGGTTGCATCACTGTACTGGATAGAGGTGGTACAGACAGCAGCTGTACACTCCTGAGAGTGATGTGCTGCTTGTGCTCAGAAACCATTTATTGATTTATTTTTTAAATGTTTCCATTCTTTTCTAATTGTCTGCAAACTCCAACGCAGCCATTTTAACATTTTAGGAAACTTCCCTTCTCAACTCCTAACTCCAAAACGGTCTCTTCACTGTGATTCAAATTCAAATTTACAATACAGCAAATTGTCGGTCCTGGCACATCATCAAGGTCATGAATTCATGGTAAAGTTTCCTAAATGTCACTATTCTGCCTAATCAGAACTTTCAGAATACTCGCCTATTCCACCAGACTGGAAGACCAGTAATGTTAACGAACATTTTAATTCTACCGATTTACCGAATACCGATTTAACAAATTAAAAAAAAAAACATTAACATTTGAAGTCGTTCTGTGCAAAACGATATGTACATGTACAGTCATTTGCCGGTTTTGAGACAAAATTCTTTAGAATTTCATCTCGCTTATTAAACCCACAAAAATTCGGATATCGTTAACTTTAATTGACGTTAAAATATCTGGTCTGACAGTAATGATAACAGCCTGTGCCAGGTAGCGGGAACACGGCAAAGTACTTACCACCGACGGGTACTTGAGAAGCTTGGACACAAGTTTGGCACGGGTCAGGTAATATCTGCACCATGAAGACAGGGAGAAAGATGGAGAGAGAGATAGATAGAGAGAGAGAGAGAGAGAGAGAGAGAGAGAGAGAGAGAGAGAGAGAGAGAGAGAAGAGAGAGAGAGAGAGAGAGAGCGAGAGCGCGCGCGAGAGAGAGATAGATAGATAGATAGATAGATAGAGAGAGAGAGAGAGAGAGGGAGAGCGAGAGAGCGAGAGAGAGAGAGAGAGAGAGAGAGAGAGAGAGAGAGAGAGAGAGAGAGAGAGAAGAGAGAGAGAGAGAGAGAGAGAGAGAGAGAGAGAGAGAAAGATGGAGAGAGAGAAACCAGAAAGATTACTAAAAAAACTTTCGTAATGAAAGGAAGAAAGAAAGAAGGAGAGAGTAGAAGAGAGAAATGATGAGAGAGACAAAGAGAGAAAGAGAGAGACAGACAGAGTGAGAGAGAGAGAGCAAGAGAGAGAGAGAGAGAGAGAGAGAGAGAGAGAGAGAGAGAGAGAGAGTGAGTGAGTGAGTGAGTGAGTGTGTGTGAGAGAGAGAGAGAGAGACAGAAAAAAGGATCAGGGAGAATGAGCAAGACAAGATGTATGCTTTCTAGCAAACAGTACATTCACCTGGAAATGGCGTCCAGGTAAGTGACAACCTCTCCCTCAATACGACCAACTTCACCAACAGCATCCTCCTGTTGACACACACATACACACACACATACGCACACACACGCACGCCCACGCCCACACACACACAGAAGGGGGTGAGGCGCACAGCCAGACATGAATGCATGACAAGATACAGTCTGACAATTCAATGAACCTGCACTCCATTGTGCACCCCATCCCGCAACCTAAGCATCCATTCACAATATCCGTGAGGTGCGGCATACGCTTGCGACAAGGAAAATCATAGAGTTGGCGGACAAGCCGTTGATTATCCACTCTCATTGTAATATCAAAAAGTATTCTTTTTAGACCAAAGAGTGGTATATTTGATGAATAAAGATAGAAATATTTACGATACTTCTCCAGACGTTTTGTTGTTCTGAACAACATCGTCAGTGGATAAAGAAAGAAAGAAAATTCATTCTTTGTCCACTGAAAATGTTGTTCAGAACAACGAAACGTCTGGAGAAGTATCGTAAATATTTCTATCTTTATTAATTTTATCAAATATACCACTCTTTTAAGTAGTGGTTGCAACTTCGGCGATGATTTGTAAGAAAGGGTTTGCTCCCCACACCGGAGCTCGCGCTATTCCGCCGACTTTACTTGACACTTGACTGACTCACGACTGCCATCCAGAGCACACGAGAAGTCCATCGAACCTTCGACTCGGCAAACCTGCAAGAAAGCACCACTCCCTGCTCAATACACAGTGTTTCGGGGAATTCACCTCTCATCAGTTGAGCTTGAGTAGGCTGAGGAAGATAGTGCCTGAAGAGCACCACTTATATAGTGCTCTCCAGGCACAAACATCACCAGGGATACAAACTTACAGAGACGCTCCGTTGTGCTCTTCAGGCACAATCTTCCTCAGCCTACTCAAGCTCAACTGATGAGGGGTGAATTCCCCAAAACACTGTGTATTGAGCAGGGAGTGGTGCCTTCTTGCAGGTTTGCCGAGTCGAAGGTTCGATGGACTTCTCGTGTGCTCTGGATGGCAGTCGTGAGTCAGTCAAGTGTCAAGTAAAGTCGGCGGAATAGCGCGAGCTCCGGTGTGGGGAGCAAACCATTTCCTACATACCACTGTTTGGTCTAAAAAGAATACTTTTTGATAAAGAAAATCATGTCGCTTAGTGTCGCAAGGCCACAATCTCAGAAGTTAGTTGACCAAAGTTTAACTTTTGTATTGCGATTAATTGTATAAGTGAAGCGGACATTACAAAAAGATGAATGAGGATACATGTATCTAAAATGGTTGTTCCTTATCGATTTTCTTGACATCTTTTCTTCTAATTTCTTTCGTCTTCTCTCCCACTTTTTTTCTTTTCACACCTCACCTTGTATACTTCCCACTATCCTATAATCTATGAGTAGATTGTTTCTCCGTATAGCCTCTATTGTGAGACGATTTTTCCCTGATGATAGTCTCAAGAAAATCGATTAGGAACAACCATTTTAGATATATGTATTCTCATTCATCATGTAATGTCCGCTTCACTTATACTATTAATCGCAATAATAAAGTTATCGTCTCCTCGTCGCCTTTTCATTTAACTTTTGTGACGTGCGGCGTACACACATGGAGTACATTTTCTAATCTGGGTGGACGTGCAGTGCACGTGCATATTACGTGCACTGCATACTGCAAGGGGCTATACGGCATTATCGGTAATTTTCACGAAACAAAAAAGTTTTGTTAGGACTCCCGTACCCCCCCCCCCCACATATTAATATTTTTCAAAACGAACCTCCTCTTGACCCACCCACAAACGAAACTTTTTCTCTTCGTCTAATAGATCGATAATTATGGACGGCCCCTTTAATAGTCAACAAATATTTGGCGCGTATTCATTTTCGGCGATTCATAATTGACTGAAAATTTGTTGTGGCCGAAATTTGCCGAAATTTTGTTTTGCAAGGTTCAGTGTGACAGTGTATACAGGCGGCAGCAGTACAGGCTGAACATTTGATGAGGCCAAAATGGGTTTTAGCCCTGGGAGGCCGAAATTCGAATGGGCCGAAAATTTGTGGACTTAGAGTAGGGAATCTACCGGTTGCAAAAACGAAAAAGATAGTGAATTGTGTGTCGCGTTCGCAACTCATCGCATGTGTTGAAAGTCGCAAAATGTGGCATTGTGAATGGGCGTTAACAGCAGCATACAAAAGCCGGCCAACAGAAGATAAGGGCACAAAACTCCAAACTTCCTGAGCGCCCATCAACTGTCACTGGCACACACACACACACACACATGCACACACACACACACACACACACACACACACACACAAAAGCACACGCATGTCGGTACCTGAATAGAGACGCCAAAGTTGTTTCCGTCTTCGACACGTGGAATAAGCAGCTGAATCCACATCTTCACTTGATTGCACTTAGCCATGAGCTCGTGAATTTCTGGCTTCAGTCGATCAATAACTCCTAGAATTAGTTGATTGCTTGGAATGAGAGTGGCCGCTCCACCAGAGTGTGAGTTTCCGTCATTAGAGGGGCAGCGTCTTTTGCAGGCGGCTATTGAGCACAAACACAGAGTGAGCAATAGAATATGTGAGACCAATCCAGTCAGACCTTGCTTATCCAGTCCTCTTTTATCCAGATCCCTCGCCATTCGGAAGAAAATCGTTAGCTTCCGATTTACAGCATAATTATGCATACATCCAGTATGTGTGCTCGATTATCCGGTTCCCTCGCCTATCCGGATATTTTTCCGAAAACGGAGGTGTGCGGTTATGCGAGGCCTGACTGTAATAGTAACAAACATTTAATTCGAAAATTTCAACAAACTAAAAAAATCGTAAAAATTTGAAGTTGTTCTCTGCAAAACAATATTACTGGACATGATTTCGATAACAACAAAAATCCGGAGTTCGCTAATCTCGTTTTACAGTACCGTAAAATCCGCTGCAAACGCCCACCCCATTTTTGCAAGATCTGCTGGCCTGTATACACTGACCCCATGCACTGTCACCTCTACTGTACGAAAGTTCATCTCACACCGTAGTGCGAAGAGCGCTTCGCTACGGTAAACTACGTCCACTTTCCTGGTTTCAAAATCTCTTTGCACACTAGCTACGAGCCAGCTCGTAGTGATTTTATGATGATGGTTGTTTTTTATTTCGCAAATCCAAACGGGAGTTTCTTCCGATTAACAAAGTAGTGAAGAACAGAGTATTGTGAGAACGTAATACACTTCTCACGGTGTTTCAAGCCATCATTTCCCAATCACGCAACGCTCAAAGGCAAAGGTTTTTCCGGAGAACTCCAGAGTTTTCAACAATTTAGCAGCGACTTTGTAGGTGTAGCTGCTGTGACATACCCTGTTCGACTTTCAACTGCAATACTGCGACCGGTAAAGTCGTTGAATGACGCCTCGTCAGAACAATCACTGTTCCGTTCTGGAAGCGCAATATCGTGGCACTGCAGAAATTTCATGAAAACCAGCTGGATTCTACAGCATTACCACTTGGAGAGCAAACTACCACAAAGATGAGTCTTTTATCGAATGAATTGCAGCAAGATAATGACAATCGCTTTTGCAGAGCCTCCTGGTAAGACATAGGCAGTTTGTAGGCATTAATGGAAGTTTCCGGAGGAGGAAGGAAGAAACTGTAGTTATCACCAACCCTCACCGCGCCCAGCTCACGCCGCTACGGCGTGCGACCTGAGCTGGGCGCCCTGCCCAGTATGGAACTGTCCTCAAGCCAGTCACGTATTTGGCAGCCCAGTGAGCTGTCTACCGGATCGCAGCGTTTAGAAGCGCCAAATGCGGCAGGGCCAGTCTCAGGCTGGTCGCGTAGGCGGCAGGCCGGCGGGCGACCGGCAAGGCTGCATTCGCATTTGGATCACCGAAGTGATACAGGTGCTTCGACGGCACTCCGTGGCGCATCAAGGAGGCATCTGGGGCCCAGGCAGCCCGCCCGTAAGCGCACCACCGTATCAGGTATGCGCAGGTGGAGCAGCAGAGCAAGATGTGTGCCGGACACTCACCATCATCCGGTCGACTGCATGGTTGTGCGACTTTACACAGCCGTCACTCATTACTTGCTATTGCTTGCAGAAGGCCAGAATTTTTTTTCTTTTTTCGCTCTTTCCCTTCTTCCAGGCACGGCTTCATGTTAGAGCAGTAAATTGCAGTTAGGGACTCAGCTGAGTCAAGCTGGACTCAGCGTGCCAAGTTTGGCATAATACAATAAGCGCGCTATCCCCAAACAGTTGTGTGGTTATTGTGTGAGTGTATATGCAGGAGTCCGCGGTCACGTGAGGGGGGAGTGATAATAGTCGTTTTCGTACGCATTCGACCTTCTTGACAGGTTTCTACAACTATATTGACCTGAAAAAGACGAAAATAGTATGAACCAGCTGGGGTGGGCGTTTGCTGCGAAGTGGGCGTTTGCAGCGGACTTTACGGTACTTAACTTCCGACGATGAAAACCTTACTTGGATGTAAGTCTAGTTTAGTCTAAAGCTGTTGTGCAATACCAATACAAGTGCTCAGAAGTGTGCACGTACGCGTACACACACATGACTTGTAAAGATGTTTAGATGTATAGATGTGTGTGTGTGTGTGTGTGTGTGTATGTGTGTGTGTGCGTGTGCGTGTGTGTATGTGTGTGTGTGCATGCGTGTTGCATGGGAGTGAGTGCGGTTACACAATCGCCTATACCTCTAGGGAGACAGTGGCCTTCGAGTGCTCGTGTAGATCACCGAACGACGCCATGGTCTTCTCAACGGAGAACTCCGCATTGTCGATCTTGAACAAGTCAGACTGGACACAAAAGGCAGGGCAAAACAGACAACACAAAGCAGTTACACGCACAATGCTGATGATGGCCGGCCACTGAGAACTTTCTTTTTCCTAAACATAAATAATTATATCCATGCATAGAGAAGCATGACTCACATCGTCACTTTCTGTGACGTCAAGGTTGCCTACAGACACGTCGGACGGCCTCCGCACTCTGCTTCAATCGACTATAAACACAGAAAAGAACGGTTCAGTCGCGATCGTAGTGGTCTCCTCGAATACATGCAGGCGCTTGCCTTTTTCAGATTGGTTCTCTGGGGCAGGATTTACTGGATTCGCAATCATTAGCTCTCGAATTTGAGACAGGTTTCACTCAGCTGCAATCACGTGAAGTTTGCCATATACCGTAATGTCGCGTAATAAAGCCGGGCGTATTCCTGTAGAAGCCGGTGTAAGGGCTAGGCTTCTATTCACAACAGGCTTCTATTCAAACCAGGTATTTCTATGTATGTCAACACTAAAACCAGGCTTATGTACTGCCAGTGCATGTTGAGAATCAGGCTTGTATTCAAAGCAGGTTTCTATACAAGACAGGCTTTAACACAAGACACTACGGTATGTTGCAGTAACTATGTGCCAGGGTCGTAAACTACAGGGCCAGAGCAAAGGCTTCTGCGAGCAAAAGCTTGCAAAAGCAAAGATCAACGGCCTGGATTTAAACGCAGCACGCTTGTTTTTCCGGGATAGTGTGCCACCGACTAGGCTACTGAGAATCACACACACATGCCCGCCGTCCATTTCCCCTGGGGAACAAATATGGTTTTTTTAAATAAATAATTATGGTTACCCCCCCCCCCCCACACACACACATAGAAAAATGAATCAGAAGCGATACAGGATTTGGAAACAGGCAAAACTAAGAACCTCCTCTGCATTACGATCAACACATGGTGTCTGACGTAACATTTTTTCCCCGAAGGACAGTACCTGTGTCAGAACAAGGGTGTCCACAACGGCACCTCCAAATCACCACATCTGCACCCGCCCACAACCCCCCCCCCCCCCCCACACACACCCACCCATACATAGTGGCACAGATGCACACACCATGTGCACACAGACACACACATACTCCTCCCCTCCCCCCTACACACACACACATCCCCCCCCCCCACACACACACACATCCCCCCCCCACACACATCCCCCCCACACACGCATCCCCCTCCCCTTACACGCATCCCCCCCCCCCCCACACACACGCATCCCCCTCCATACACATATACCCCCCCCCCCCACACACACACATACCCCCCCCCCCCCTCCCCCACCACACACGCCCCCCCCCCCCACACACACACACGCACCCCCCCCCCCCCACACACACGCACCCCCCCCCCTCCCCTCCACACACACACGTACCCCCCCCCCAACCACACGCATCCCCCCTCTCCACCCCCCCCCCCCCCCCACACACACACGTACTCCCCCCCCCCACCACACACACACACCCCTCCTCCCCCCCCCCCCCCCCTCTCCACACACACACACACACACACACACACACACACACACACACACACACACACACACACACACACACACACACACGTACACACAGAGAGAAGACCATCAAACTACTAGGCATACCTTGATCAGGGCATCCAGATCCAACACTTTCTCGGGAAACGTAATTCGCACGAGCTTCTCGGCCTCGGAGAACAACTCCTGCTTGAAGGCATCGAGAGTTTGCGGCTGGTGAATGTCACATGACACCAAAATCAAAGGAAAGTAAAAAGAAAGAAAGGCATACTTATACAGTATTTGAACAGGCGGTGAGGTGACAAAAGTTTCAAAAAACAAAATCAGCTGAAGTGTCATGTCACGAACCTTTTATTCACATGTCACGAACAAATTCTAGAGAAAGTGGTGATGGACAAAGAAACACCTATGATGGAAAAGAATCACCACTTTTTCTTGAATTTGTTCTTGACATCTCAATAAATCCTTCGTGACAAGACGCTTCAGCTGATTCTGTTTTTTTGCTATCCTTAAACAGTATTTGGTATAGTATTTGGTTTCACGTGTTGCCAACTATGAATGCATTCTCTCCACACCCCAGGTTTGATGGCTGGGCGTATCTTGACCAAAGGGAGTACTCTGGCAAACTTTGCTGCTCACAACGGAATGGAAAGAGCCGATCAATGGTCCTTATGCCATTTGTGCAGATCCACGAAATCCCGTAGAATCCCGTAGACCCGGTAGGGTGTTGAATGTGCAGGACCCTATTGTGTTTTCTGCTATTTCCACTAAGAAATGGGGCCTGAAGGCATTTCATACGAAAACCTTTTTCTGACAAAGATCTAGCTAGTCATTAGTTCTAACCAAACTGAAGAAGCTGGAAAAGCGATTGCTGGTCATTGAATTATGACGCTAAAAAGGTCAAATGCGCATGCATAGCACACCATAAACACCCTACCGGGTCTACGGGATTCTACGGGATTTCGTGGATCTGTACAAATGGCATAAGGTCCATTGTGAGTTACATATACAGTCAACTTGGCTAATAACGACTGCGGATATAACGGCAATTGGCTAATAACGACTGCGGATATAACGGCAATTCGCGAATAACGACAGAATTTCCATGCCCAGAGCAAAGTCCCATCTAACTGTAATACATACAATGAGACTTTGGGTATAACGACACTTCGCGAATAAGGACACTTTTCTGATGCCCCGCCGCCGAGTGTCGTTATCCGGAAAGTTGTCTGTAATCGCTAAACTGACAAATCAATCATAATGGTATTGGCTAAGCCATTTGAAAAGATTGTAGTTGTTTCAATACACACCAATACACACACACACACACACACACACACACACACACACACACACACACACACACACACACACACACATACACACACACACACACACACACACACACATGAAGTTTTTTGTTTCCAGAGGAAACCTTATTCATACATCAGACCAAACTCATTGAAAGATAAAAATTCATACATCGGACCAAACTCATTGAAAGATAAAAATGAATCTAGTCGTTGTTCGACCGTTGAACATCTATTACGGAGAAATTTACACTTGGACATTTGCGTAATTTTCGGGAGCAGTTGACAGATCAGAAAGGGAAACTTACATGTGTATTGACTGGGAAGACGTTGCAAATAGAATGCGAGTTCTTTCAAGTCCAGGTTTTGCACTTCTCTGACGTTGCTACCCATGTCACCAAATGTCGGCAACGAATTCACACACTTGCAGTGAGCATCGCCACCACTGTTGTTGATACCACTGTCTGTGTTGCAGCCATCACCACTGCTTCAGTTGTTGCTATGGTTATCTCTGGTACAGCTGTTGCTGCCTTCACCTTTGGTACTGCTGTTGCTATGGTCACTGATACTGCTACTGTTGCCGAAGGCATATCAAATGCTACTGCTGCTGCTGAAGTCATATCCGCTGCTATTGCTGTTGCTGAAGTCATATCCGCTGCTACTGCTGCTGCTGAAGACATATCCAGTGCTATTGCTGTTGCTGAAGACATATCCGCTGCTACAGCTGTTGCCGAAGGTATATTCGCAGCTTCAGCCGTTGTTGAAGACATATCCGCTGCTACAGCTGTTGCCGAAGGTATATTCGCAGCTTCAGCCGTTGTTGAAGTCATATCCGCTGCAACTGCTGCAGCTGAAGTCATATCTGCTGCTACTGCTGTTGCTGAAGTCAAATCCGCTGCTAATGTTGCTGAAGTCACATCCACTGCTACTGCTGTTGCTGAAGTCATATCCACTGCTATCGCTGGAGCTGAAGTCATATCCGCTGCTATCGCTGCAGCTGAAGTCATATCCGTTGCTACTGTCGCCGCTGTGTCTACTAATGTTGTGTTCACCTTTCTGTTGTTGCTGCTATTGTTGCTGCTGTTGTTGCTGCTGTTGCTGCCGCTGCTGCTGCTGGTGCTGTTGCTGCTGCTGTTGCTGTTTCTGCTGCTGCTGCTGCTGTTTCAGCTGTTGCTGCTTCTGCTGCTTCTGCTGCTGCTGCTGCTTCTGCTGCTGTTGCTGTTTCTGCTGCTGCTGCTGTTGCTGTTTCTGCTGTTGCTGCTGTTGCTGTTGCTGTTGCTGTTTCTGCTGTTGCTGCTGTTGCTGCTATTGTTGTTGGCAGTACTAGTACTGCATGCTTGCTGTGCCTTTGCCGCTGCTACTGCAGTTGCTGCAATTGTGACCACTGGTACTGTGGTCATCGCTGTTGCTGATATTGCTGCTGCTGCTGCTGTAATGGCTTCCACTGCTCATGTAATCATCAATTCGGATATATCTTTCACCCGTGTCACCACTACAGCTACTGCTGTTGCGGTCATCACTACAGATACTGCTGTTGCTGTCATAGATGCTACTGCTGTTGCTGTTATAGCTGCTACAGCAGTTGCTGTCATAGCTGCTACTGCTGTTGCTGTCATAGCTGCTACTGCTGTTGCTGTCATAGCTGCTACTGCTGTTAGTGTCCTAGCTGATATTGCTGTTGCTGTCATAGCTGCTACTACTGTTGCTGTCATAGCTGCTACTACTGTTGCTGTCCTAGCTGCTACTGCTGTTGCTGTCATAGCTGCAACTACTGTTGCTGTCCTAGCTGCTACTGCTGTTGCTGTCTTAGCTGCTACTGCAGTTGCTGTCATGGCTGCTACTGCTGTTGCTGTCATAGCTGCTACTGCTGTTGCTGTCATTGCTGTCATCGGAACCCACACAGTCCTTAATTTCCAAGTCCTTGAGGTATGACTGAGGTGATAGCAGTCGGGTGTAGTGCTCATTTTCCATCTCTTCATATTCCATCTCTTCATCAGAAAACAGGGCGAGCTTAGAGATATTCGTGTGGTTGTTCACAGCTGCAATGAAGTCTGTAGCCTGGCTGGCAGTGACATCCTGGAAGTCATTGCCACCGAGGTCCAAACTATCCAGCTGTGTCCAGCACTGTATACCAGTAGTAATGGCAGGTAGTGTTGTTGCTGTGAGGCCACAATCACTGATATCCAGCTCTGTGAGATGGCTGTATGCTGATAGGCTGACCACAAACAGGGTGGTGGCATCACCTGCAGTCATGTCGCTGAAGTCATTTCCACTAAGGTTCAACTCCTGCAGCTGTGAACAGCACAGTAGAATATGAGTAATTGCAGGTAGTGATCTTGCTGTGAGCTGACACTCACTAAGTTGGAGGTCCGTGAGATGCAGGCTGACCAAAGGCAGGGTGGTAGCATAATCTGCATTCATGTCACTCAAGTCATTTCCCTGAAGATCCAACTCCTCCAGCTGTGGCAAGCACTGTAGAGCATTGATAATGGCAGGTAGTGATCTTGCTGTTAGGCCGCAGTTCCAAAGAGATAGGTTTGTTAGGTTTTTTAATGTTGACAGGGTGGTGGCACTAATGCCCGGGTCATTTATCTCCGTCATGGTGATAGAAGTGACACTTGTCATAGCAGACAGTGCATTCGCCATGGTAACTCCAGTAATGGGTGTAGGTTCGCACCGACCCACTTCGATGTCCTCAAGTTGTTTACAGGATGAGACGGCAGGAATGACGTTGGCCACGATATTATCAGTACAGTCGACCAGGTACAGTGAGTGTAGACTTTCATGAGACGCCTGAATGCACTGTTGAATCGTATCAGAAACTGCAGTGTCATTCACTCCAACCACGTTCAGCATTTTTATTCCACAACACTGACCTAGTGAGCATGGGAACTGATCTGAGTGGTCTGATGACCAGTCATCCACGTTCACACTCTGTACAGCATCAGGGTGATGTTGCAGTGCTGTATTAATGGCACGGTGTTCGGCTGGATGTGAATAATGCCTCAGTTTGAGTTCATAGGAAGCAAGTAATGCTCTGATAGATTGCATCTGGCAATTGTTCATCTTCTGATTGTGGTTAACAAGCTCTGAGTAGCACAGGTATGCAAGAATCTGACGTGACTTACTTATATCACCCTGTAGACTTGAGCCATCAGTATTCATGTACTGTCCACCAAGACTATCCTCACAATGCTGACGAAGCTCTGGACTGACATTTCCCAGAGACTGCAGAAGACTGTTCGGAGTGGCTTTAGCAGTTGAGTTTTGCCATTCAAGCAGATCAAGCTCGTTCATGTCCCCATCCCATTCTGTTGTTTTCTCCTTGGTCAGCAATGCATACACCAAGCAGTCAGCCTGGGGCACAGTTTCCAGCTGGGCACACAGCAGAAACCAGAACGTTCTCATGTGCGCACTTTCTCCACCAAGACATTCAACGAGTCGTGTGATCCTGCTGTTAGTCATTGGCTTGTGGTGCACTTGATACAGAGCAGCAAGGTATTCTTGAACTGTCAGGTGGCTGAAGCGATACTGCCTGATTTCCTCCCTGGAAAGTGACACGTCATCAGTCACAAGAAGACCAAGCAGTATTGCATCTTCACTGAGTGAATGCTGCTGGATGTCGCTCTCATCGAATATCAGCTGCTTCCTCACAAGCCTGCTGAACGCAAACTCTCCAATCTCCAACGCTAACTTTCGGATATTCTTTGGTATTGAACTCCACTGCTTGTAACTGTTCCCACTTTTGCGTTCAAGGATCTGAATGATCATCTGGTCAAATAGATCGGCTATGCATCGCGGGATGCGGTTGGAACAGTGGTACTGGGTGCACACTTCCTTCGCAATGAACGGTGTGGCCATCATCCCTCGCAGATATGAAGAACGTTCAACTTCAGTAATGAGCTCGCTGGCCTTCTCTGGTCGGAGGACTTTGTTGATATAGGTTTTAACATCATCTGGACGGAAGCCAACCAGTTCGACATGTTGTCGATAGAAAGGCAATGCTGACAGGCTGAAGGCATCGGCACAGGGCCGCGATGTGACTAGAATATGAGCACCCGGTAGCTCATCCCCAGTTATTACCTGATGAAGAAAGCTGCTCAAATCAGACAGGTTGGTCTCATCCAAGCCATCCAGGATAAGCGTTAGGCAATCAGGATGCTGACGTACGTAATCACAGATTACTTGGCGGTCATGACTGTCCTCGATGCCGATTCCTTTAAGATACAGCAGCTCACTCAGTGATTCAGCATCACGCACATCTTTACGACGTAACTCCCTTGCCACAACCAGTTTCTTGCGTTTCCACAGCTGGCCCATCGCCCATCGTAGAGGTGCAACCTTGGTAAATACAAACGTCTTGCCACATCCTGCACTGGCTACCGCCATTGTTCCCAGCGTGTCTCCTAGTTGTGTTGTATTGTCTTTTGTCGTGTTGTTACCCAGGGACCCTAATTCAACTGATGTCATCTTCTCACCAGCATCAGTGAAAGCATGCTCAACTCTCCACATATCATAGCTTGATGCAATGAAGTTGTCTTGTTCGAACTCCTTACTCAGACTGGACTTGTTCAGCATCACCAAGTTAACTTGAACGTGTTCAACGGTTGGAGCCACACCAACCGGGAGCATTTCACTAGCAAAGGTATCCTGGGCACGGTAATACCGATCCTTGAGTAGTTTCTGTACACGTAGTACTTGTGAAGGTACATCATCCACATCTTCACATTCCGTTGATAGTGACTTGCCACCTAACAACACAGAAAACAAGAAATGAGATTTCATGTGACAGTGTGCAAATCAGATACGGTAAAACATGTCATTTTAGGTGCATTAAAATTTCGGTGCTAGGGACCTGCCAGGTTTCAGTTGTAATTTAGAATTAGGTGACCAGCGTTCCCTTCACATACAGTGCATACTCTAGTGCCTTTTAGGTGTAATTTAAATTTAGGTGCCTGGTTTCTCTACCGAAATCACCGAAATTTTAAAGTTACACCGAAAATTACTTGTTTTACAGAACATACTACTTTCTCCGCATCATCGAAATTGTTGCAGTTTGACTTTTGATATAAAATAGGGTATTTACTCACCAGCAGTCGTACCACAGGTAAGGAATCGGACATAGGCGATAGTCATCAGTATAGGGTGACGGCAAAGTTCCATTTTCGGTTATCGGAAGCTGAAATGTTTGAACTAGACGCAATTTCTTCGCAGGTGTCGCTGCAATGGTACTTTCGATTCGCTGAGATCAGTCAGGCGTTGCAGCCTGCACATTTCTCGTGCTTATAGCCATTCACTCAAAGCCTCATCACTGTTTTACCTTAGCTGGGGTGAGAATGACTTCGTGGAACAAGCGGCAGCGCTTGGAGAAACATTGAGGGGTCAGCAAACTAAAAGCATGCATGAGCGATAACATGCTGCTCTGGCTGAGACACTCAGTACATGATTGTACCTGCAAGAGCCGTGTAGACTCTACGTGTAGTGCTATTGTCTGTAGATCTACTAGTGATGCACACGCAGGTGCCGTACCAGTGATGCTGAAAAAGAGTACGCACTGGACGTGATAGTACACTTACCTGCATGGCATGTGACCTATAATAAATGCGCATGCCACGGCTAAAAAAAGTTCATTTTACATGCTGCTGCGTTTGTGTCACTCCGTCGTACATGCTGCTTCCCCCGTTCTCCATGCTGCTGCACTGTCTTCTGCCCCCCCCCCCCCACACACCTGTGTACGCACTTCCTTCACTGGTCCCCTTTGGGATGAAATTGTATTTGGCATCTGCTGTCTTGGCCTCTCTTCCCGTTCGGATCTTTTTGTTGCACCGCTTTCCTGGATATATTCCCTTGTCTCTCCTGGTTTCGTTGTCAGTTGTCCGTTGTTTCTTTGGCATTTGTCTTGGTCAGTTGTCCAATCGCAGGGATGAATTTACTGTCATATTTTTGCATAGCAGTTTCTGCTATACGATAATCACAATTGTGTAGCAGTCTTTGCTTTTGAATAGCATTTTTCTTTGAAAGTTGGGTGTTTCCCACATTGTCCTTCTTGAGAGTGATACCTGAAAGCCCATTTGCAAAAACCCAACTGAAGCATACATGTGCATGCAGGTTGAGAGTACCTGCACCACATATACTGCACTGTACGCATGTTACTTGACAGACCAGGCTAGGCATGGATAGCTGTATGTGTCGCAGTTTTCTGCGAGTCACGGTGACTTTTGAGTAGCAGTAGATCGATTTTCCTCACAAACTGCGATGCGATACAGGATAAATTCATCCCTGAATCGTCTCCTCAAAGTAAGAACGAAATATACTCTCTCCAACAAAACTGTTTGGCTGTGTGCTGTGTGGAGTAGTCGCGAAGGGTCAGTAGTTTGTCGTTACCTAGACGACATTAGACTGTCTCTAGCTTGAAGAAATATGTATCCATACAAAGTAAACACATTGCAGTTACCATAGAAACAACATACCTGTGCAAGGAAGCGGTAGCTGTTGTTCTTGCAGAATCGAGAGCATAGCCTCGTGTATGGCCACATACCGAAGTTCCTCAATGGCATTACAGAGATCATGATAGGACTGAAGTCCACCAGCTCTGAGCAGCTTGACAAGCTCCTCGTTATGGGCAGACTGTCCTCCATCCTTGGATGATAAGATTCTCTTCAGTCTATCAATCACTGTACTGTCAGTTATGAGGCGTTTCCCGATTACAGCCTTCTGCAGCCGATCAGCGTCGACGTTTTGCAGCCGTAGTTGAATGTCACACACAAAGTCTTTCAAGTCAAACGGGTTACCTGTTACAAAAAAACACACAACACACCGCATACGCGTGTGGATGCCGGCACACACACTCACGCACACACACACACACACGCACACACACGCACACACACTCACGCACACACACACACACACACACACACACACACACACACACACACACACACACACACACACGCACACACACTCACGCACATACACACACACACACACACACGCACACACACACGCACACACACACACACACACACACACACACACACACACACACACACACACGCACGCACGCACGCACGCACACACACACACACACACGCACACACACTCACGCACATACACACACACACACACACACGCACACACACATGCGCACACACACACACACACACACACACACACACGCACACACACTCACGCACATACACACACACACACACACACACACACACGCACACACACGCACACACACACACACACACACACACTCACGCACACACGCACACACACACACACACACACACACACACACACATTGTACTGTACTGTGCAGTACTGTATTTCCTCACTGACAAAACTGGTCATGTGGGTCTCCCCGGGAGAGGGGAGAGAGGAACTCAACAGGAGTCTTGGGAAGAGGACTCAATTGGCTATTAAACCGCCCAACGGCCGACACCCCTTGAAATCCCCAAACTATGGGTGGACTTGCAAATGATCCCACTTATGGGCTCACCATACCTCAGTAAGTGGGTGAGGATAAGCTGCAGAAAAAGGATTGACGGCATCAGGGTATCCGTCCCGGGATCCAACTGCAGTTTCCCCTGCCCCCAGCTACTAGTGTGGGTGGCTAAATCAGAGTGGATTTGATATAAGCTTCACTAGCACCAGTGATTACACAAGAGTTAATTTAGCCAGAAGCAGTCCATGGTCAACAGGTATGTGTATTTCAAATAGAAAGTATATGAACCCTGAAACCAACAAAGTGGTAGGTACACAATACGTGATAAAACTCTCCTCAATCCTGATGATGGCCCTGGCCAAAAATTTGACTGAGACAATAGTGATTTGCAGCGAATAGACCACTTGATTTGAGAATGGTGTGTGTAGGGTTTTTCATGAAAATGTGATTACTCGTTTTCTCTTCATCTTACCATCTTTTCCCAAGGAATATCAAACTGCACATCAACTTTTACTGCTCTGCTAATGTACGTGCACTTTGAACACATAAAAGAACCTTGAAAGGCTTGGAGAAGACCAAACGCATGTTTGGGGAATAGAAACGCTTGGGATAGGAAACATTTGCTGGCTGATCAGATGGGGAGCATCAGGGAGCTCAGGAGCAGACCCCTCCAATTTTTCGCAGCCATCTCAACACTCGACACGGAACAGGAAAAACATTCAGTGAACACCAAAACGCATCCTGTTCGCGTGATCGCGCTGCTTCTACTACTACTATCATTACACGCTGTTTGGGCACGTCCCTGTCGCTCGAGTGAACCTTGGTGTGAAAGCTGTAGCCTGCAGGCACGGTGACCAGGTGACTGGTGTACGCATTAGCACGTTCTGACCGCTTACTTAAAACCATGTTCGATTGGGAATAAGGGCCGAGCGCTGCATCGCAGCCATCTTGGACCTAAACCAGTCGAATCAGCGTCCAAAAGACTGCAACATTTGGACCAATCGCGTTCATCAGTGCTTTTTTAACCCTTTGGAGTCCATGGTTCGATTTCGAACCATGGGCATTTTGTATGCATGTGGGCGCAGTCAAACTTTCGGTTCTCGGCCAAATCTTGACCAAATTCAACAATCGAAGGGTCTAAATGGTAGAGAAAACTCTCAGCTATCGCCTCGAACTGGTCCGAAGTCTCTGTGATGAAGTTTGAGTGAGCGGCGAGCGATCAAACATTTCGAATGTTCTGCGCTGCGTGCTGCAAGTCACCAGTGCGTGAAAAAAAGGATTTTCCCAGCTTCATGACAGGCGGGCACGTGCCAGGACCGGCGCGGCGCGAAGTCACGGCAAGGTAAGCTTCTATTCGAAAAAATTTGAACAGTTCCGAGCTAGATTCAGTGAAATGGCTACAGGAGACCGATTTCGTCTCAGATCTGGAGCTGGACTCGCGTTTGGGGCGCGTTGTGGCGGACAGTGAACAGTGCTCTTGGCGAGTTTAGGCTCATTGTATTTCTCTCATCAAGAGCTTTCCAACGAGCCCAAGATCTTCAAAATCGGTGAAGTAGAACCAAAGTTATGTTGGAAATGGAGTGCGCATTTTCGTGACTGCCACAAATTCTGCGGAAGCAAAAAGTTACGGACTCCAAAGGGTTAAGAACGAAACGGCGCTTTTAGTGACATTTTGCATACAAATCCCCATCTAGTAGGGTGCAGTCACCCAGTTTCGGTGGAAGTGGCGAGTTCACGTAAATTCGGACAAAACTGAAAATCTCGATGTTTTGATACCCAATACGCATGGGTTGCCGCGAAAGAAATAGAGAAACCCGCGATGCGCATACGTCATGTTCTCTACACACGACAATTGTTTGTCCGATCGCGCACGCTTCAGGCTTCGCCCTGGCGATATCTATCCTCATGGACGCAAAACGATGTGACGAGTCGATAGCCAAGGTCTTCTTGAACAAGTAGAGTGGTCGTTTCTAATTTTCCTGTGTGCAGAAGTGGAGATACGAATTTATTTGTACACACGTACTCATTCTAGGCGACTAAGGGCCCGTACACACTACATACATGTAAAACGCAACAAACGTTGCGTATGCGCCAGCCTGATCAAGTGCAGTAGTTGCACAGTGACACAGTGACACACTGACACACTGACACAGTGACACAGTGACACAGTGACACAGTTGCACAGTGACAGGTGACACAGTGACACAGTGACAGGTGACACAGTGACAGGTGACACAGTGACAGGTGACACAGTGACAGGTGACACAGTGACACAGTGACAGGTGACACAGTGACACAGTGACAGGTGACACAGTGACACAGTGACACAGTGACACAGTGACAGGTGATCTGCTTTTTACGTACATGTACGTGTAGTGCAGTTTGGATGAAAAGTTCTGCTCTCAGAACGAGTGCTGTGTGTGCTTCTTCGATTTCGTTCTGCATCCTGTGTTGGAGCCATGCCCATGGAGCTCAGGTTGACTCCGGCAAGGAGAAAGCGGCGACGTAAATTGCTGCCGCCATGATATTGCAGGACCTGCAGAAGCTAGTGAAGTCGTCCGATGGCGGTCCTGTTCTTGGTATTTTCTAGATGACTGATCACAGTTGCTCAAATTTCATGGTCACGACGATCAGCATGCTGTTGCGGAATGGTTCCGTCAAATACAGAATTGGTCGCAACTTGTGGACAGCTCACCCTGATAACGAGTTTGGAACGCCTTGTTTTTTGATATATCGCCCACAGCTCCATGAGCTTCGCCTCCATTTCTTCTGTGCACTGGATTTTCGGCATCGTGTCACGCTAAGCAAGCAAACAAGATCGAGTCTACTACGGCTTGAACAACACGAGTTCAAGTACGAGAATTTCAGAAGCAGGCGAAAAGTCCAATGGACAGCTGAAATTGAAACACGGAAATCCACACAGCACCAAACAGCAAAAACACCAACAAGAAGTTGAAGTCCGAAAGCGCGGGAAGGCATAAAAACTAAAACGCTAAAAGGCAGCCTTCTACACCCGTCCGAGATCTGAGTAAAACGTTTACGCAACTTTTTACATTTCGTGCCATATGACGTCAGTCGCCATGACAACTTTTACAGGAACGTAACAAAAAGGCGGTTTTCTACGTAGTGTGTTAGGGCCCTAAAGTCGTCCGTGGCACTGAGAGGGTTAAGAACGAAACGGCGCTTTTAGTGACATTTTGCATACGAATCCCCATCCAGTAGGGTGCAGTCACCCAGTTTCGGTCGAAGTGGCGAGTTTGATTGGGAATAAAGGAGGAGGAAGCGTCTCAGCTTCCTCGGACCAAGACCATTGGACTCAGCACACCGAAGACTGCAACTAGTGAACATTTGATTTTGAACTACACCACAACCATAGCTTAACTGACAGTAGACCACCGTCTGTCTAATAACCCTGGTCATAGCGATAGCGATGGTTAAGTATTAAGCTATGTTTGAAGTAGCGGCTTACGCTTGGATGACATCATTCAACACAGCTTGTACGGCTGAGGAATTGATGACCATTTTCTTCTTAGCTTCACGATTCAGTGTCACCACAACCACATGAAGACCAAACTAAAGTAACCATAGCAACAACATACCTGTGTCCGTTGGCTGGAATTGTTGTCCTGGTAGAATGGAGAGCATAACTTTGCTCTTGTCCTCGTAACCAAGTTTCTTAATGACATCGCACAGCGCTTGGTACGCTTCCAGTCGGCCAGGTGTCAGCAGGTTTATAAGCTCCTCGTTATGGGCAGATTGCCCCCCATCCTTGGATGATAAGATTCTCTTCAGTCTGTCGACTACTTTGTTGTCAGTTATGAGCCATCGTTCGACCACTGCATTGCGCAGCTGATCCGCATCAACCGTGTTGATCCAGGGCTGAATGTCACATACAAATCTGCCCATTTTAAACGGGTTGTGTGCTGTGCCGACAATGCCTTCTGCTGCTGGAGCTGCTGTTGCTGTTGTTGCTGCCACCACTTCCACTGCTTCTGCTGCTGGAGCTGCTGTTGCTGTTGTTGCTGCCACCATTTCCACTGCTTCTGGTGTTGCTCTTGATGCTACAACTTCAACTGCTGGTGGTGTTGCTGTTGCTGCCCCCATTTCCACTGCTGGTGGCGTTGCTGTTGTTGCTCTTGCTGGTTCCAATAGCATATGTGAAGTCCCTGACACTTCTGATTTCGAACTGAGTTGAGAACCTTGAAAACAGACACAGACACATACACACATGTACACACACACACACACACATACCTCAGATCTCAGACCTGCCCATCGCAGGAGCAATGATAGCGAAGAGCTCTGTTAGACATAACAACTAGTGCTGGGATTTATTTTCTAGAGCCACGTAAACCTGTCATGTGTGAGCCATAATTAAGAGGAGTGATGACGTCGTCTGGGACGCTCTTCCGACCCTGGGTCTCGGCTTCATCACAACCAGGCGCGCCAATAGCACACAGAGAGAGAGAGAGTGAGAGAGAGTGAGAGTGAGTGAGAGAGTGAGTGAGAGTGAGTGAGAGAATGAGTGAGAGTGAGTGAGAGAGTGAGTGAGAGTGAGTGAGTGAGAGTGAGTGAGTGAGTGAGTGAGTGAGAGTGAGTGAGTGAGTGAGTGAGTGAGTGAGTGAGTGAGTGAGTGAGTGAGTGAGAGTGAGAGAGTGAGTGAGTGAGTGAGTGAGAGTGAGAGAGAGTGAGAGAGAGTGAGAGAGAGTGAGAGAGAGTGAGAGAGAGTGAGAGAGAGTGAGAGAGAGTGAGAGAGAGTGAGAGAGAGTGAGAGAGAGTGAGAGAGAGTGAGAGAGAGTGAGAGAGAGTGAGAGAGAGTGAGAGAGAGTGAGAGAGAGTGAGAGAGAGTGAGAGAGAGTGAGAGAGAGTGAGAGAGAGTGAGAGAGAGTGAGAGAGAGTGAGAGAGAGTGAGAGAGAGTGAGAGAGAGTGAGAGAGAGTGAGAGAGAGTGAGAGAGAGTGAGAGAGAGTGAGAGAGAGTGAGAGAGAGTGAGAGAGAGTGAGAGAGAGTGAGAGAGAGTGAGAGAGAGTGAGAGAGAGTGAGAGAGAGTGAGAGAGAGTGAGAGAGAGTGAGAGAGAGTGAGAGAGAGAGTGAGAGAGAGAGTGAGAGAGAGAGAGAGAGAGAGAGAGAGAGTGAGTGAGTGAGTGAGTGAGTGAGTGAGTGAGTGAGTGAGTGAGTGAGTGAGTGAGTGAGAGAGAGAGAGAGAGAGAGAGAGAGAGAGAGAGAGAGAGAGAGAGAGAGAGAGAGAGAGAGAGAGAGAGAGAGAGAGAGAGAGAGAGAGAGAGAGAGAGAGAGAGAGAGAGAGAGAGAGAGAGAGAGAGAGAGAGAGAGAGAGAGTGTTGTGTCGGTTCCCTCAGTCAAGTCAGCGCAATTTTGGCTCTTATGGTTCAAAGTGGGTCCCAGGTCGCATCGTGTCAGTCATCAGTCCAGTCAACTACCAAGTTCAAGTTCAGGATGCTTTGTGGAAGCGTCATCGCAACCAGTTGAGAGCACGTTCAGTTCCTTTGTCTGAGTTTGTGAGGGAGGATGTGGCTGAAGCTCCCCCTAAATCGACGCATCAGGCTCCATCGTCATCCGCTGATACTGGTCCCAGTGTTTCTTCTACCGGTACAGTTTCAAGTTCAAGTCCTACTACCGCTGAGAAACAACCGTCAAGTCAGTCAACAGTCAGCCCTACACCAACAACCACGACAATACCTACGGATAGTGAGTCTGAGTCTAGAATGCCAACACCATCGACACCTGGTCAGAACACTAGTACGACCCGGTCCGGCCGCCAGGTTGTCATACCTGAACGGTACCGCACTCAAGCCAAGTAGTGGTTTCCAGTTACTGCAGTGGTCATGAACTGTATTATAATGTGTATACAAATCTTGTTTCTGTAAATAGTTCAAATAATTATAGGTATTAGCCGTCATAAATACATGAATAG